AGAAAAAAATGTTGCTAATTCATTTTTAGTAATATTTTTAAGCTGATTTGTATAATCATAAATTATAATTTTATTATTATTCATAGTGTTAGTCATAGTATCCAGTTTATATTGAGTTAATTCATTTTCTAGTCTTAGTTTGGTAAATTCATTTTCTATTTTATCATTTCTTATCCTTATTTGTTGAATTTGATCTTTAAATTCTTTAATTTCATTTTGAATTATATTAATTTTTTGTCCTATAAGTGAAAATTGACTCACCAGCTTATCATTAATATTAGTTATCAGTTCGACTATCTTATTCCATAATTCTGCTGTTTAAATGTCTATTTGTCCTGCCGGTAATTGTTCTTGTGAGGAAGTTAAATTAATTAGCTTACTTGTTTGAAATGATGATTCAGCTCTTCTAGGTTCAGTATAATCAGTGATAAGGTTTGAATCTGGTTCCAATGCTTTGATACTATTAGTCAGCAATTTTTGATGAGTAAGTGGTGGTCTCCCTCTCTTTGTTGGAGTTTTCTGTAAGGGACCGGGATTTGGTTCTATTCCAGCAATCAATAACAATAAAATAAGAAGCTTAATGTTATTCCTTTTAGTTGAAAATAATTCAAAATTCTTCATTTCCTGAAAAATTAGACTAAGTATGGAAGTGAGAAAAAATTCACACCAACAGCTTTGACGATCAGAGTGCCCCCTTTATATTTTTTTATTATTATTTTATTGGGGATTTTTATTTCTTGTTATCAGGGGGTGGAATACAATCATCTCTGACGTTTCCAATTGTAGTTAATAAATAAATAAATTTTAGCTGGTACTGGCTGTGGTTTACAGTATCCCTAAAGTTTGTGCCTAAGCAACTATCTAGTGCACCTGTAACTTGGATTGGCCCTGCCCCAAAGCTATGCTTGTTCCAGTGTTTCTCAAATGTCACCTTCTCTTAACCACTCAACAGTGAGGGACGGATATATCTGTCCAGGACAATTGTCCAGGCAGCGGTGAGGGACAAATATATTTTTTAAATTCTTTTGAGGGTATTGCCAAAAACTACTGCGAAAAAAAAAATTCACATAAAAAATGAATTATATACAATAAAAAAATAATTTTCTTTACTAGACATAACTGTTTACAAAATCTTTTTCCGAAACGGTAATGAGAAAAAACACATGAAAAAATACTTTAAAAATTTCCCATATTTATTCTCCTCTACTTTGGGATATCACCATACTTGACTATCCCACTGCTGAAAGGTTAATAAAGAAAAACTTTTGGTAGACCCTCTACAGTAGAATGAATTATTAAATTAATATTATGAATAATCATTATTATTTTTAACAAATATTTTAAAACAATGTCTTTGTTTTAAAAATTTTAATTTAAACTTGAGTAAAAACATCTATTTGAGTAGATGTTTTTAACACTAGATGTTAAAAACATCAAATAGATGTTTTTAATAAAGATAAAATATTTTGAAAAACATTTTTTTATTTTACAATATAATATGCTTCATTTTTCTTCTGAGAACTCAAGGACACCACCAATACATTTGCATACCTTGGGTGGTTTGCAGACCACAGGTTGAGAAATATTGCATTACCTGAATTATCTTGGGTACCTGGGTAAAAAAAAGAGATAATATTTGGGTTTAAAAATTTATACAGTGTTCAGCACTCTTTTAAATTATTTTTATCTAGTAACTGTTTATATAAATATATATATTTTTTCAGATCGTAAAACAAAAACAGGAATTCTAATAGATAAATATCTGAAATGCGAAGAAGAATTAGATGATCATGCAATTCATTTGTTATTTTCTGCAAATCGTTGGGAATCAGTGTAAGTTACAAATTAAAATGGTAATTTGAAAGAAATTTTTATATTAGAATTAATTGGATTTTTTTAACTAGTAAATATAATTATTCTAAGTTATTTTAATAAAAATACCTGGAAAATAGTGTGACATATTTTTTCCTTGGCAAATTTCATTCTAAACAGTAGTTTCATCTTTTATTAGATTTGAACATTCTGCATTTGCAAGCATTATTAAAATTTTCTTACCTTAAGGAATAATTATAATGAGTGATCAGTATGGAACATATAAGTGACTTGAATAAAGAACAGAATGATATATTTTCTAAACAGAAGGTAAATGATGACAGGCATTTCCAGACACATAATTATCTTTTAATGTTTAGTTAATTGAATTTAACTGAAGATGTAAAAATCATTCAAAAAGGATATTTTTTTCATTTGTGACTGTAATGCTGTAGCATTTGTTATAAAAATAGATTTAGTTTAATTTAAAGAAATTCGTTTAATTTTTTTTATTAAAGTCTCATTGCTTTTCATATTTTTTATTTGAATGAATCAAAAAAGTTAAAAATTAAAAAACTTCCTATTTTGTTGTTTTTTTTAATTGCATTTAAATACAGTCAAGTTTTCTTATTCACAGAATCTGTATTTACAGATGTGTGTTTTTGCAGTGGCAATTGTGATCATATTAAAAATTTGTATATCATACTAAAAATTTTATTGCTGATTACTACATTTACTTTGAATGATCATAGGGTATGTGCATCTTCACTGTCATAAGTGTATCATTTGATAGGATGGCTTGTGATGCTTTGTTTGCTTCCTAGTGTATGCTTTGTTTTTAACTATATAATAAAAGTTTGATACATGGGTCTTAAAATATTACTTATTTTTCTAAAATGCAATTAAAATCTTTTAAACATTTTTCTGTTAATTGCAAATGGTTGGGCAAGTGTTAGGTATACATAGAAAACATCTAGAGCTATTTGGATGAAAGTACAGATTTTTACACAAATGTTGATGTACAGAGGCACATACTGATCTAACTATATATTAGACCTGAAACGTGACCTGATAGAGACCTGACTGTGTATTAATGACAAAATAACTGAATCTTATACTTTCTCCCAATTTTGGTACTCTACTATATGCTTTTTTTACACTCATGTCCAGAATTAAAGCAACACACAGAAATGAATGGCCCTCATTGCAACGAAACATCCAAATGCTTTCTGAGCATGCCTGATAAGCTTCTAATATATCAGGAATACATCTTCACTGTTAGTGGTCCTAGCAGATGATTATTTATCAGAAAGGATTTCACTTGTATATATAGTGCATTACATATTGTTGCACAGGTACATTGCTATAGTACACAAGTGTATATCAATAAAATGATTCTCATTGAATTTTTGTAAACTTTATCAGATGTGGATTTTGGATATGTAATTTAAATTTCTAAATATTCCTTTTCATTTATAAATTGGCACAACTGTGCTTCATTCCTCTGGTACTCCTGGAATATATATTCTTCCTCAGTTTCCTCTAGAGCAGTGTTTTTCAACCTTCTTGAATACGCGACCCCTTTACAAGTTAAAAAATTCTGGTGACCCCCATGGCCATATTAAAACTATGTCAGTGATTTAAAAAACTACCGGTACATATTTAATTTTCTTTCTGTTGAGATTTTAAATATCAATCAACAAACCAACTGTACTGTAAAATAAACAGGCACAGCCTTCTCATTGAATTTGTAGTTTTTTTATTGTAGTGTAGGACCTACAAACACTTGTCTTTTTCTTTTACCTGTGACCCCCCATGCATGGCTTTGCGACCCACAGGTTGAAAAACACTGATCTAGAGGACAACTCTCACTTCTTCCAGAGCTCTCTGTATCTTCACTGAATATCTATTGGTAGTTTACAGACTTTCCATTCTCCATCTTGTTTATTGCTCTCTGAACTGTTTGCTTGAGAATATTTTATTAAATCAAACTAACAGTATATTAAATCAAATAACCAAGAGATCATTTTTATTTAATATACTGAATACATTGTCCTTCCTATATTTCAATTTATTTTTTATATTAAGAAACACTTTTTTTGTCTTTTTTGAATATTTTTCATTTTTATCAAATGTTCCATCTCCTCAATCTGCCTTGCTTTGATATTTTGCTAATCTATAAATCTTCAAAAAGTTATATTAACATTATACTTACAAAATCTCCAAAGTAGAATATTAGTTCTGGCATCTAGCAATGCTAGATTCCAGAACTAGATAGAGCTATGAGAATAGCACTTAATATGTTAATGAATATTAATAAGATTTCAAAGATTTTTTTAAATTTTTGTTTTATAGATCCGAAATGTGTAATTTAATAAATTCGGGCACAACATTAATTGTTGATAGATATGCTTATTCAGGAGTGGCTTATTCTGCTTCAAAAAAGGTTAGAAATTTATTAAATATTTTATCTATAAAATTTTTATATATTTTATTTTTAATAAATTTTGTAATTTAAAAATGGTATTTGTATATTCATCAATAAATTTAATTTTTGTTTTTCAGTTATATTATTTATTATTAGTTAGGCCTATTGTTTGGGGTTAATTTCTTACTTATCAGGGCATTACAATTGTAAATTTACAGAATGAAAGAATAAATGTTAAAGGAAAAGAAAATTAAAAACCAGATGTGAGGAGCAGTATGCTAAAAGCTAAATTATTTTTATATGATAAGCATATTGTAAAATAACAGATAATTCATACTAAATACAATTATCTATATAAATAAAAATGTAAATGTTTGTTTATTCAAAGTCTGAAATCTTTGAACGTTCTTTGCCAATTGCTTTGAAATTTTGAAACAACGTTGCATCTGAATATGCGTGTGTTTTTATATTATAAAGATGTCGAAATTCCCCCTGTGGAGAGAGAGACAAAATGAAGGCTTACCTTGAAGAACTAGGCTTCTATTATACTATTTTAGATGTGGTTTTTTGCATTTTTGATTGTGTTTTAATAGGGTATGTCAAGAGAATGTACAGTACACAAAGAAGGAATTTTTCGAAATTCCCCCCATGGGGAGCATTATACATTTATAACAGATACATTTTGAGCCACAGCAACACGTGGCCGGGTACAGCTAGTATGATATAAATTTAATATCATTTTTGAAGAATATTAAAGCATTTTTCTGTTTCTCTGTTGATTAAATAAGAATAAGAAGTTGAATTTCCAAAAGTTTCATTCCATATAATTTTAATCACAAACTGTTAAAATTTTTTAATATATTTGATAAAGTCTTGTTTAATAAATACACTTTTAACCTGATTAACTCAAATTGATCAGGGAAAAAATTCGGACTTTGAGTTAAAAAGTTTTGAGTTATGAAGGCTTGGCTAAAAATTAAGATTTTGTGCATTGGCTTATTGGTCTTATTATGTAGAATTGTCATGTCAATGTAAACCTCTCAGTCCAGTGTTGTCCAGAAACTTGAAAAGCACTTAACTGAATGGTAAATAAGCTACTGAAAAATGCTTTCCTGAATGGTTGAGCCTTTTACTCCTTAAGTGTTTAGTAAGGACTTTTAAATTATGATATTTCATGCCAAGAATTGATCTGTTTTTTTTTAATCACAAAAAGATAATTCTTTACAATTGTTATATTTTTAAAATTTTCATGCAAAGGTTAAAATTTATAGAATTGGACTATAATAATTTTTTAAAATTAATTTATTAAAAATTTATTTATTTATTATGTCAGCTAGTTGNTTTATATTTTTAATAATCCAACATTTGGTCATGGCATCAAATACTAAGAAAATAAAAATGACAGAAGAAAAGAGAAAATTCAATATTTATGGACAGAAAAATATTTCGTAATTGAAACATGCAATAATATTATCTGCCTCATTTGTCATGATAAAATTGCCATGTGTAAGAAATATAATATTAATCATCACTATGCTGCCAAACATGAATCAGAATATAATAAATTAAATGAAGAAAGAAAAATGAAACTAGATGAATTGATAAAGCAGTTTAGTTCTCAACAAAACATTCTGAAAACATCTGTTGTTAAAACTGTTACATGTACAAAAGTTTTGACTGATACATGTACAATATAATAGCTGAAAAATTGGCTAAGAAGGGTAAGCCACTAATAGATGGTGAATTAATAAAAGAATGCATTGTAATTGCTTTTAATGAATATTGTCCCGAGAAAGTGAACTTATTCGATGAAACAAGTCTCTTGCATCAGACAGTTGGGTAGAAAAATTGATGATATAGCTGACAGTATTGTGAGTACATTGCAGACCCAATTATCTAAATGTGTTCATTACAGTTTAGCATTTGACAAAAGTACTGATCAAAGTGACACTGTACAATTGATTATTTTTATCAGAGGAATTGATGTCAAGTTTAATTAATTAATATAATTGAAGAAATGTTGAACTTATGTCATATGAAGGGTACAACAACTGGCAACAGGGAACATATTTGAACACTTTAATTTAGTCGTTGAAAAGTGTTCAGTATTGATAGAAATAAAATTTATTCAATTACAACTGATGGTGCTCCTGCATTAATTGGTAAAAATAATGGATTTATTACTTTATTCAAAGAATTGGTTGATCATGATTTTGTGCGAGTAAAATTTTTTTTACTGTCAATAATACAGTAGTTTTTTATAATTATATGTGAGGCCAGGACATCACCCCTCCCCTGGATGGGAACTGGCTGTCGAGCTAAAGCCAATAAATCAGTGACTTATTTTGTAAACAGGACTGGTGTATCCGAGGAATGGGGTGCAAGACGATTTAATTGTCGCATTCCAGATCCATTTGACAGATCCTAGATCCTACATTGTGAGAACGGGAGAGGGATCGTCCGCCAGGGTAACTTTGGACAGTCACCTTACAGAGAGTTCAAAGCAGGACCTGCTGACACTCCTGTGGAGGGAGCGGCGGCTGGGACAGTTGTGTCTTCTCCGGGACAGAAAAATACACATTAGGTAAAATTTACGGGTCCGTCATCTGGGGAAGGGCTTGACCCGACTCCGGGGGGACGGCCTGGATGGGGATGTTCGGTGACCCCGCGGCCTGAATCACATCCCTGGAACAAACCAGGGGCCAATAGAATTACAGGGGACCATTATTCAGACCAACCAAAACCTCGGGATTTCGGAAAAAAAGGTTATAAAAGCCCGAGGTCCCAAGGACGCGGAGAGGTTGCAAGCTGGAAATCGAGAACGACCATTCCAGAGACGGGACCCGGATTAACCCAGAGGACCCAAATCTCCAAAAAGAGGACAGAAGGGACTAGGGACTCGACCTCTCAGTGCCAACTTCTCCATCCCTCCAAGTCTCTACCCACGACTTTTGGAAGCGAACTTTTTCTCTCCTTTTTTTCTTATTTGTGTGTCAACCTATATCATCAGAAAACGAACTATCCGGCAAGCTTCTTTTCAGTGACGGCCGCCTTTCGACCAGATGTTTGTGTAACCCATTGTAAGCATGATTTTCCATATAAGTAAATGCAATAAATTTGTAAATACAGTCTCCGTGTGAGTCTTCTCTGTGTCCAGCAAACCACTACCCCCATACATAAAAAGGCTTTCTTGTGTCATACTGACAGATTATGGGCAAAGCAAGAGTTGTAACCTTTAACCTCAAGGTCAACTCCTAAGCGAGTAATGGTCGGAAGACCCACATATATATATTTGTTGTTAAAATTTGATATTCACATTTTGAACTTTTTAAAACCATATATTTAAACAAAGTCAAAGTACCTTTGTGGCCAGCTGAATATACCTAAATTTCTAATTTGGCCCATTAAGGAGAAAGATTGGACAACCCTGATCTAGACATTAGAGAGGTTGCGGCTGACATTTTCAGCCCAAAACATTAACGTTGGACATCGAGTGCTACCATCTGGCAATTCTAGAAGGTTGATAATGGTGTTCACTACATATAGCATGGCGAGTAGAAGTTCAGCTTAAACTTCTTCATTTTTTGTATTTGGGGTTAAAATTATGACATATTTTATTAAAATAATGATTATTTAAGCATTTATGAAAAATATTGTAAAGAAACAGATGATTTTAATCCAGAAATTATTTAATTATTCTATTTTTTTGCAAGTGATGTGAAGTACCTATAGAATTTACATATATTTCTGTTCATAATAGCTTATAGTTCTATAGGAGTATGTTTGTTCTTTCACAGCGTCATCTATCATCAACAGCATAATATGTTTGTAAATTTTCTAAAAATAATTTTATGAGCTGCTTTCAGATTTACATAAGCCACTNGATAGATGAATAATAATTATTATATTTAAATTAAAATTCTGGAGAGTTTACGAACATACTGTATCAAAACTGCATTTGAATTAAACTGTTTGAGGAGTTTGATTTAACATGTAAATTCGAATGCTGGGCAATTGGGGAAAGAAAATGACTGAGTTTTCCCAGTTCAAGTTAACCAGGTTCCACTGTAACTTTAAAAAATTATTTTGTTGTTAAATTTGCCACATTCATAATTTGTATAATTTGAATCTTATTATAAATTTTGATTTATTAGATGTTATTATGTTAATAATAGTTTAACAAATTCTGTTATTTATTTATTTACATTTTTAATCATCATTTTTATTCTTACATTACATTAGATAATATTAATTAACTTAAACAATTAAAAAAATGTTTGAATTTTTAGGGATTAGATGTAAATTGGTGTAAACAGCCTGAAATTGGTCTCCCTTCTCCTGATCTTGTAATATTCTTAGATATACTTCCACATAAAGTTTTCGAGAGATGTGAGTTTGGTAAAGAACGTTATGAAAACTTAGAACTTCAGATGAAAGCAAGAGAAAATTTCCTTTCATTAAAAGAAGATAACTGGAAGGTATATTTACATTCATTAGATTGTGTAATTATATTTATTTCTCTTTAGGAATGATTATAGAAAACAATTAACTGCTACAAGCAGAAAATCTTTTGAAATACAGTGTGATCTTGCTAATTTGAACTAACTATTACAGTAGACCCCCCTATAACGCTTAGATACGTTCCACGCTAATCGAATTTTACGTTGTAGGAACGATTAAATACATGAGCCAATCGCAGCCCGATAGGTGGGAACTTTACGGACTAAGGCTGNCCGCAACCTCTCTATTAAGTTAGCATTTCATTAGTTTTTATATATTGTAATAGTGTGTTAATTGGTCTTAATATTCTTAATGTCAACAGTTTATCCTTGTTTAAATTGTAAGAGAGAGAGAAAAAAAAACATAAATGAATGTAAATGTTTTTGAAAAGTTGGAAAAATTTCAGTATAATATGCCCCAAACCAGGACAGTCCCCAAGAGTTTTTGGTTCCCTATGCAGATTTCAATCTTGGTGTCTTTTCTTTTTACTGGTAGATGCCTTGTGCATTGAAATACCTGCAAACCTACATGTGACAGTTCTGGATGTATATGTAATATGTCTAAAGTTAAAAGTTGATCAATTGGATCAGCTGATTTATAAAATTATTTGAAAAAATAATCTTAAAATGTTTACAAGAATTAATTTTGTGTTCAGTGCCAATTTTCAGAGGTTAAGCATTTAAATTACACCACATATCAGTCAAAAGAAATAGTCTGTATTCTGATACTTTAAAAAATTACCTCCAAATGCATTTTGCCTAGTTTATTTAACCTAGGTCACTTCAGTGGGATTACAGAATGGTGTGACAGAAAAACAAGGTATAGCACAAAATCAATCATTTTAATCATTTGCTTTATCTATATATACAGTAGACCCCCCTATAATGCGGGTTCCTATAATGCAGATTCCTATAACGCGGCGAAAAAATTGCGACAGTATTCGTATAAAGACGCTAAAAGGGACACATAAAACGCGGTAAAACATCATCACCAACTCGTGTCACGACAGGATTGGTCAAATCTGGACGTTGCGGCTGACATTTTCAGCCCAAAACATTAACGTTGGACATTGAGTGCTACCATCTGGCAATTCTAGAAGGTTGATAATGGTGTTCACTACATATAGCATGGCGAGTAAAAGATGTGTTTAAACTTCATTTTTTGTATTTGGGGTTAAAATTATGACATATTTTATTAAAATAATGATTATTTAAGCATTTATGAAAAATATTGTAAAGAAACAGATGATTTTAATCCAGAAATTATTTAATTATTCTATTTTTTTGCAAGTGATGTGAAGTACCTATAGAATTTACATATATTTCTGTTCATAATAGCTTATAGTTCTATAGGAGTATGTTTGTTCTTTCACAGCGTCATCTATCATCAACAGCATAATATGTTTGTAAATTTTCTAAAAATAATTTTATGAGCTGCTTTCAGATTTACATAAGCCACTACTTCCCTCAACAAAAGTATGAGGTAGTCCTATTGTAAGGTAGGAGACATGACGCTAATTAAAAATAATTAATTATTTTATATAATAAAATATAATAAAATAATTAATTGTAAAGTGTTTATAGG